TAATTTGTGAAATCAAATAAGACTTCTAATACAGAAAATTGATTTTTTGACAATTTGAATCACTATGAAAACTGATTCAATATATTATAGTGATAATTTTGACACTTTGATTTACTAAATTTGTATATTGATAATTTGACACTTTGATGTACACTAGTGATAACTTTAAAACTGATTTAATTTACTATAAATGTAGTGATTACTTTGACATTTTAATTTACTATAATGACAACTTTTACATTTTTTTTTAAAAAAAATTTACTGTAGTTAACTATAGATTACTATAGTATATTTTACTAGCATAACTGCGTCTTAAAGGCTCACTGTAGTGTTTGGGGCTTCACCTCATTTCACAAAGCTATCAATACAATCTTGACAAAACGATGGAGTTTAATATCGCCCATGGAGATTTTTTTTTTCAAAAACAAATTTTGCATGACTGTAATAAGTGGAATTGGGAGGAAAGAATTGTATAATCAGTTTCATGCAGAAGCCTTTAAATTTCACTGCGGAAGGAAACTATGGAGATTAGTGTTAAATAGTTTACACAGGGTTTACAGGGAGTCCGTGTTCTTCCCTAGATATCAATTTCGTCATTGAAAGTATGGGTACTTAATATAACATTTACTGGTACACAAATGCAATAAATATTAGCAACTTTCACATTTGTTGGGAAATTCTTCTGGAAAGTAGTCTGAAAGTAAAACTCAAAAATATTATTCATTGTTCAAAGTGGTCCTTTGATATTCTTAGTCATTAGTGCATGTTTCTCTATAAGCATGTATGATTTTTTTTTAGAAATGTCGCCATTCAATGATCAATGAATGCTAAGAAAAATCGAATGTTATGCTTTTATGCAATAGGGAGCATATTTAACACGAGACTGATACGCTTAGTAAATTTAGTTAACGAGTCTGGGAACAGGAAATAACACAGTCAAATACATTAATTCTACTTGAGTAACTAAAGTTGATAGTCGAAGAACATAATCAGTTGACTGCCATTCTTATATATATATATATATATATATATATATATATATATATATATATATATATTAAACTCTGTTAAATAAGTGTGAATGTTAATTAAAATTCGGCTTTGAGTCTCAAATATGATCTTCATAACGAAATGGAAATGACGGGCCAAAAAGGATTTCTGTTGAAATTGACCAAACAGACTCCATCCTTACACCCTCTTTCAAAGTGGAGGGTCCAAGGTCAGCATTTTACACTAAGCCAAGGATGCTTTGATATGATGGCATATTTCTGCCACCACTTGTCAGATGTTTATGTCGACCTCTCAGATGTTTATGTTGACTTGACAGACATATATGTCAACTTGCCAGATAATTATGCTGACTTTTCAGATAAAAATCATCACGACCAGGAACTCGTATCTTGTTGTTACAGCATATCAAAGCCACTAACTCACATATACTTGTCATCTTAATATCTGACAAGTAAATATATTTTTCTGACAAGTCGACATCATTATCTGACATGTCGACATAATTTTCTGACAAGTCGGCTTGTTAGATGCTATGTCGACTTGTCAGATAATGATGTTGAATTTTTTAATATATTATGTCGACTTGTCAGAAAATTATGTTGACTTGTTAGATAAAATATCGACTTGTCAGATCTTTATGTTGGCTTGTCAGATCTTTTTGTTGACTTCTCAGATCTTTTTGTTGACTTGTCAGAAAAATATGTTGTCAGCTGATGGCCTAAAGTGGGCATGGACATATTTTCATGTTGAATTTTTAACCACGTTAATAAGTGACAAATTAACAAAAAGTTCTGACAAGTCGACATAATTATCTGACAAGACAACAAAAAGACCTGACAAGTCGACATAATTATCTGACAAGTTGGGGGGGGGGGGGGCAGAAATATGCCACCATACATTGAGGAAAACAGATTTTCCTTCTCAAAATGTTTATATTTAATTAAAAATGCATTGATTCAGTTCATTTTAGCAGTTAAATGATATTGAAAAGTAGAATCAAATGCTTGTTTGTAATTCTATTATCTTAACATTTAAAAGAGAGAACAACAAAGATACTTGATGCAGAGGACTCTTAACAATCTCCACATAAGTACATCACAGGACGAGGGCCTGGCCTCTCCTTTGATATAGCAGCATTGTCGTCTTATGTTATCGACGGAGACATTATGTTCCAGTCGGCGACAATATGTGCAAAGAAAGTTCGCTATAATATATTAAAATGAGTAAGTACTTCTTTCACTTTCTCCAAAATTTTGGAAAATTTTAATTTGATGAAAATAATGAATGATTAGATAAATTGATGGAAGCAATTCATATTTTATGAAAAAAATATCGTATATATTTCGCTATTTGCTGAAGACAAACTTTCCCATTGTGTAGGATATAGACAGTTATTGAGTTTGAAGCATTTGAGAGTTTGATTTTTATTTATTTAGAGAGATGGAGAAATTAAATATATAATCTGATATTTAAAGATGAGAAATATGACATCCAATTCTAAAATTAACTTGTCAAACATAACATTTTTAATATCTCAAACTTATGAACTTTTTAAAAATTCTAATGTGTAGACAGATAAAATGATTCGTTGGAGTGTCTAACTTTTATTGGGTTCTTGCTAATATTTAAAAATAATCATATTTTTCTGATTTTTACTCTGAACAAAATACTAGAATTTAAATGTGAAAGAAGATTAATCAAAAATTGTATCCATATGAGACCTGCCATATTTTTGCATCTTTTAACCTATTGACAGAATCTTTTTTTAAACTACGAAATATGAAGATAACGAACAGTATTCAAGCTCAAAAGTCCATTCACACAATACAAATCAGGAGCAGACCAAGCATGGACCTCCAAAACATTAGAGGTGGGATCAGGTCCATATAGGAGTGAGCCCTAGTCAACCAGTCACACCCGCCGTGTGCTCCTTGTCATGATCGAGAAAAAGGTAAAATCCGTAGACAATTCAGTGTGTAAAGAATGGCATAACAATACGTATGGAAAATGTCAGTCAGCATTTGACTTAATGATAGACTGTCTTTGCTGACAAGATCATTGTATCGACCATAGAACTTGCAAAATGTCATGATCTTTTAACGAGACTTTAAACGAGACTGTTTATATTCTTGAGTTAGGGTCATATACTATATAAATACGATATACTGTTGACTCTATCGATTTTACTTCCTAATATCAGTTTCCCTTTTGCAACAATGAAATTGTGAGAATCAAAACATTGTACACATTAAGTGACTGGGCGTTTTCTCCTTTTTTTTTTCTAACTTGCAACAAGGAAGTGTTTTTTTTTTCTCGGAATTTTTTTTCTCCTATAGGATTTGTGCTAGAAAAATATAATCGGTTTCTATCTACTTTTAATCCTTAAGTTCTTGGTGGAACTCAATTTCATAATTTTATCTGGAAAATAGGATAAAACTAAAATGCTGTCGACTTTGATGTGCTCATGTTAATAAATTTGAAACTTGAATGCAAATTTTACATAATTCTTTTAATTTTTTCTGTCGTAGAACCACAGCATCAAGATGTAAAGCAAAATTCGCTGCATGTGCAGTATATCTTTCTGAAAGTACGAATGAAAATACACTTAGGCGTGCTCATCTACTATCATACAAAAATGTAGTTTTCGTGTTAAGTTCCGATTTCTCTTTGTAGTTTGTTGGTCGAATAACTTAGGGTGTAACCTTTAAGATGATAATGCAAGATATCGGATCAAGAATGCCGGATACAAATTCAAATAAATGAAAGAAATAAAAAAAAAATTATTTTCTTTTTTTTAAATCCTAAACTTATTCAATCAATCGAAACTTCAAGGAATATTTACATGTGTATCTAACGATACATAACAAGTAAGAATAAGATAAAGGCTTTTTGTAACTTCAAATCTTCCTTTCATTTCCACCACATTTTAAAATATTTTCCGCGCACTTAACGCATTCTTCCGGAAAACGGGCATTCTTAAGTTTGACGGAAGGGCAAAATAAATCACCGACTTAAAAGAAACACGCCCAAACTTTAAAAAACCCAATTTGCATACAGCGAACAAATAATTATCTTTTTATGTCATAAACTAGCGAGTCGAACATTCAAACTTTCATGTACTATTAACCTAGACTGGGCCTGTTGTCTGTCTTGGATATTACGTCCCTATGTACAAAGGATAGCTAGGGTTGACAAGCATGTGACTGATCACAGATGAATGTCATGTACAGCCGACTGATACAATTTATGAATGACTTTTTATATGATAAATTAACATTGTTGACCAAAGATGTACAGTATATCAATTTATTAATACAGAGAGAGAGAGAGAGAGAGAGAGAGAGAGAGAGAGAGAGAGAGAGGATATTTGTGTGATTGAGGGAGGAAGACCAAACGAAAATTCTATTTTAATTTAAGGTATATTTAGTATCAAATTACTTCGATAAAAAAGTTTATGAAAAAATCATAATTATTTTTCTGTTGCTTAAAATAAAATAGTTGTTGAATGATAAAGCAATTTCAGAAGGAATGTATTAAAAAGATTTGTCATATATTTTGCTAAAACAAATCATTTATATTTTATTTACACAAAGGGCGTACCTCTGTTAAACATACTAATGCGTCAATCATTGGTAAGTACTTCATCAATTTCCCATTCATAACTGGATATCGTCTGATAATCGTTGGTTTAGCGCAAAAAAAGAACAAATAACAAGACTACATTTACCATCCGCTTCTATATAAGTTTCCAAAAATAGGCCCCTTTAAATATCGATATTCATTTGTCGATTTTTCGCCGAGGGGGCTGACGTTATTGCACAGTGATTTGCCATCTGTCAGTGCATTTAAATTGAACCACACCCATCGTAGCGATTATTCAGCGAGCCGAACGCCTGACCTACATTGGCGATAACAGAGAGGGATGACTAGACTCTCTCGTGTGTACGTTCAGAAGAGTGTAAAGAGCGATCGGAGTAATGCCGGTGTGGGGTGTTTTAGTTTGATTCTAGCTTTTTGTGAAAGAAATATTGAACATTTCAATGGAAATTCTGTGATTGTTTGTAACGGATTGTGAAGTTTGTTGCTGGTGATCTAATCAGACTCTTACTTAACTAACCCTCAGACAAGTCTTAGCAAAAAATGTGGTTTGACATCTCTATGCCAGGATGTGATACGGGCACTATCATCGAATCCATGCCGGCTGTGGAGTATAATGTGTTCACATGTTGGGAAATGTAATCGGAAAAGTGTCGTAAAATTGGTCATTCTAACCGTGTGTGTATTAAGTTGTGTTCCACTTGCCCGAGGTCTTACTAAACCCAACCTTTATCCGTTTGGGACGTCAGCTTCGGACATCATTACAGATAAGGCAGACGACGGAGGTTCTAAAAAGATTGTGCTGAAAAATCCTTTCAAATTTTTTGGCAAAAGCAAATATAGTCTTTTTGTAAGTAGCTTTAACGTCAGAAAGCCTTTTGGTATGTATATAAGCCGTTACTTCCGGTAGGAGAAATCATATGAATCAAATACACTGATTGACTCGTGCATTCATGGTTGAATGGTTAATTTTACACTTGCTAGTAGGCAACTGTTGTAAATGGCCTTTATTTCTATACAAAAAAATGCCTGTGATTCATAATGAAAAATCGATTTCCGCCTTTGTATGTAAGACTCTAGAACTGCATGAAAAAATTGTTCTTTAATGGTTTTGTTTAGAATCTTTGTTTTTGGCCTAAAAGCAGCATGTGGGGGAACATGTGACGTCAAAGCGCAAAATTGTTGAGATTTGAAGGAGGATGAATCTTGTAGTACCTACACACCACATTCTCATCTTCAATTAGATTTTTTCAGGAGGTTTATTTTAGAAATGTTTGGTAGAAGTAGCTAACATGTTATACATTGATTACAGATGCATTATGCGAAGGCATCAGATACATGCATATTGATGTAAATCACTACATGTCAAGAAAGCAGAGTTGGCTATTTATCATTTATTTTACAAACAATACGCGACATAGCTTGCCCAAAGTCACCATCAGGTGCGGTGGTCATTGCTCGGGGCCCCTGTCATGAAGGCGTGAAATATTTATAAATAAATCTGAGTAGAACAGATATTGAATATAAAATCAAGTGGAAGGTTTTTGAAGTGAAACCAGATGTTTTGGCATGGCGGAAAGAAGGCTTTATCCTGTGAAGCAATGCAGTGATATATCCGTCCCAATAAAACACACGTGGGGTAGGGTGGAGCCCAAACTAACGCACAAATTACTTCAAGATAAACAATTCCACCATCGGTGGTAGAAATCCAGTTGTGTTCATATGTAGATCTAATGTACAGTTTCCCTACTGCTGCAGTCTGATTGTAATTCCAATGAAACAAATAAAATTGTCCACACAAATAACCTGCCATTTAAAAGTCTCTAAGTCCGAGACCTATCTGTACAGAATACAATTTTGTAAATTCTACACAGGATATTGATACTCAAAATTAAAACTGCCATCTACTAAGAGTCAAACACATAACTCTTTACCGGTGATACAAAATCGACATGGAGAACAATTGAATCAATTTCTCAGTTTATTTGAATATCTTTTAGATAAATTGTAACCTGGATACAGCAAACATTTGAGTTAAAATTGGCCCAATCGCTATTACTTATTAAATGTTTTAACGATCAATTTTTTTCCTGTTTATTTGAAAATATTTCACTATATCTGTCTTAAATTAAAATGTAACTTAAAGAATTCAATTGATTGCTTGTGGGCTTAGTAGAAAAGAGGAAGGAATTCGCTTACTACTTTTATATTTTATTCAGTAAGTGCGTTCTGAAATACATGCAGTCAGGAGAATGACATATTTGTAAGACTGTCAGAAACATTCAGAAAACGCTTTAGATGTTTGTTTAAACACCATCCAAAACGTAAATACCCCTAGCTAATTATTTATCAAAAGAAATCGTTTTGTTTTCTGAAACTATTTAAGAAGAACTTTATTTTTTTCATAGTAAGTTTTTAAGGTTTCCAGATATACCAGTGAATGTTAATTTTGGTTTATGTTCTTTATGGGTGCACCAGCAAATAACTAAAGGGCGTTCCTAAACAAATCTCCCTTTAAGAATGAGATGCCAATTCTTTAATGTCGTTAGTTGTTGTGTTTCTCGTAAGATCTTAATTATCGGAACACGAGCGGGATTCTTCTCATCCAATAACAGATCATCTTCCCCATCAAGGAACAATTTTACGTCAAAGTTTGGGCGCAGTTCTTGTTCTGTTCCTATAATTAGACATTAAAGTTTTAATTTATCATAAAATCTTTTGCTTTTCCTCTGCAACAGAGGCTATGAGACCTTGTTCTTTATGTGCAAACGTGGATATTTTTCCGACTGTATAAATTGTAGCCTACCGTGTATTTATGTAGCACACATTTATTTGGTGCTGATTTGGTGGTATGCCATTGAATATATGGCCAACGAAAATATTAAATTCTGCAAGCTTCAAGATTACAATCAGTTCAAATTCTATATGACAGTTTTTATTCTGACCTAATACACGCAACACAAACTATTGCATGAAGGAAATTTTCTTGCATGTTTTCGGCTAATAATCTTATAAGGTACTCACTCTTACTCAATTGTTTATTTCCTACCGGAAGAATGCAGTTAGCTGTATACGATTTGCATCTAACATATATGTTAGAGCTCGGAGATTTTAAGACTTTATTATATAATTACGTACGGAAAGGTAGATATAACCGAATATATTACAATAACTTGCAGTCTAGCACCATATGCAATCTGTTGTTGCCTGCACTGTTAGATGCCATTTGACCTTGTAGTATAGATCACTGCAAAGGTCAACTGGAGACACGCGCCCTTCTGTCGTCTGCCAGCTTGTGTCAGCACGCTTTTCAGTGTAACATTTAATTAATGAATCCTCCCCGCCTTTCTTGTTTTCCTTACACGACTTTTCTTTGCTAGAAACAAGAATCTCATTAATTAAAATATGGAAAATGACGTAATCGACACGTCATAAATAGGTCAGGGTTGAACTTGTATTGGAAAACATTCCATGTTCAAAATTAACAGAACTGCAATATGAAATTAATTTCCTAACACAAACGGAAGCTTTAGCTATAAATATAATTAAAAAACTACCGTAATTATAATTTTAAAAGTTAGTTGTTTACATGTAAAAAGACACAAGGTCATTTATAGTCCGGTTAACTTTCTCTTGGTGATTTCTATTACTATTCACCAAGTATGCTGCATATATAAAGAATGCTGTCCACATCACGCACGTAAGAACGTACATTCCAATGCAGTGTAAAGACCTATAGCCGACCTCGGTAGCTTTATGAGTTTTATGTCACATTGAATATGTGCAGTAAAAGCCCTGACCATTCAGGTGTTCACTAAATACCCGCTGACGTCCCCTGTTAGAACACTAACTCTCAATCACCTACTGGCGAAAATTCCTACAACAAGGTTTATGTTTTCGTTTTGCATGGTTAAATGTATTAGAAGTTTAATAAGTGCAAACTAAAAATGAAAATATTTCTCTCTTCCTATTATTTCTTTAATTTCATTGTAACAAATAAAACATTTTTACGAGATTTATTATGTTAGATAACTTAAGCAACTAATGGATAATTTATAATATATTGTTTACGTTGAATTATCTTTTCATCTTTTTTGAAAGGATAAGGAATTTGAAAGGAGTTTTGAATTAACTCTTAGATGTACCACTGCATCATGCAGTACAAACACTTTAAATAAATACAGAAGCTGTACATATTGTTTGCGCTCTCTGACTTCTCTGTAAACCTTTCTGTTTATCTTACCCCCACTTCGGGCCTTGATAGCGGAAACACCGATAAGAATCCATTGTAAAATAAAGAGAAGCTGTTTTAACACCCAAATCGAGGCTATTTTACTCCACCCTTGTTTACATGGCAGAAAGGTGAAGCTTTTGGGGGCCAGCCAGGGGGTTGGTTCAATAATTTTAAACACTGAAGAGATTTTCCTTAGACATATCACTTTCTGACATTTTTTTTACGCTTAATTAATTAGGGTTAAAAATTTTAAAGAAAAAAGAAATTAGAGTCACGATTTTTTACTAAATTTTAACAATTTTTTTTATTTATTTATTTTTTTTTTGGAAGTAATTCTCGTTGAAAAATATGTTTATAATAATTTTTATTATTTCTAAGGCATATAATACGATCATTTATTAATGAGTTAAATTCTTTATCAACATGATTAAAAAAATGCAAACTCAATTCCATTCCTATAGATACATTTAAAGGCCAGTATATTAAATGGGTTTTTTTTCCAGCTTATTCAATTGAGTAAAGTAAACGAAAATTTTAATAATAATTAAGCTAAAATCAGTTGAATTTTCAGATTGAAAAATATTTCCCAAAATGGCCTTGAGTCAAATGGTAAAGTGGACATTAACTTTGCATCACAAACACGTTTTCCCCATTTTTGTTATTTTATTTTAAGCACAGCCTTGGCTCACTATTTACACAATGGGGATTGAACTCCAACTAAATTTGAAATCGCTGCATAATTTTTAATTCCAATTTGTCAAATAGTCGGCAACGAAAACGCGATGAAGTTTCCTCCTAGCTTTTACGACACCCGATAAGAGAACAAGCAGTTTGTTACCCCGAATTTGACGTGTAATAGCAATGATTGATAACAAGTGAAATGGGCAAAACGCCGACAAATGGTGAAATAGCCAGGCGGAGTCCGGCAACTGTCAATGAGACGATCTAGGTGGCCGTTACTGGGCCAGGTATAGTGTTTACCTGGGGCTAATTGAATGCAGCCTCCGGCTCGCACCGTATGAACTTCGTATCAAACCACAAGGACATTCTGATTTATATACAGATATAATATCACACTTGTGTTTACCTAATACACTTCAGATAGCAATAAATTTATTTAAAATTTATTCCTGAGATTATTCCTTTGAAAGAGAGTTAGTAAAGGGTTAGAAAATGTTTTGCCACGCCTTTTATAAAATTTAGATCTCTCATCTCAAAATCTTTCATTGGACTGTTTTATGTATTACACAATATATTTTTTGGTTAAAAAAAGGAGAAAAAGAAGATATACTAGTAGATTTTGAATCTTTTTGCTTTTGTATTATATTGTGCAATGCAATCCTTTTGTGCTTTAATATGAAAAAATAAAGTTCTTTATTGTAATTTTAAAAATACGAACCCCTTTTTACCAATGTTGCAGTATTCATATAAATTGTAAGTTTCAAAAGAGTCAAGATTTCTCTGTAAAAATGTCATTTTATAAACAAGGAAGGCGGCAATTGAACAAAAATCTATTTAAATTTCTCATTACAACGACTTTTCTTATTGAGTGCTAGAGTATCAAAGGAATAGGGGCAAAAGTATTATTATTAAGGAGGGATTCTTGTCTGGATTCTGACTAGATGAAATATCAAAAGTATATTTGCTTATATGTCTGTAAGAGATTTAGAAGATTATATTTTTCTTTCCTCATCATAATTGTACAACTTTAAATAGAAATGGTAAACTGAGTTTGAAATCTAGCAGAGACTATATTTTTGGCGGAACGGCGGCGTATGAAAATATCTCCTTTTCTGCTTCTCAAAATTACTATAAAACAATGAATTTAGTTAAAAATTTTTATACAATCAAAGACTAAAAGAAAATTTCAAATGTAAGTAAAATAAATAATAATGGACTGAAGTTTTAAAATATATCAAATAAATATGATTTTCCGAACAAACTACAATTTTGTTAACTTTTAAAAGCTTCCGATCTAAGTACAGATTTGAGCCAAAAATCCGTAAAAAGTGATTTTTCTCTCTTAGTAAACGGCCAAAAACTTTTTATTTTTGTATCAATTTGTATCTTAATATGTCTACTTTACCATATGTGAAAATAAGAAAAATTTAAATATACGAAACATGTAAAAATAACTAATGTATCCAAAAAAACTAAGAAAAATAGTGGAAATTCGGATTAGCCAATATCCATTTTAGTTAAATTATCTATGTCAATTTGGTAGTATCATCTGATAGACCCTATATGGTAATATCTTTTTATACAAAAAGAAAAACATTTAATCTTTTGAAAAAGAAGTAGGCATCGCATGATTGGCAATGGTATTTTTTTTATTCCTAAGGTAAAGAAAAAAGATAATGACCTTGACCTGACCTTGCTTTTAGAATAAAACGGTCAAATTTAATCTAGTTGATACCATCACTTAATGATAATGTCTTCTTGAGTCTAAGAAAATTTAATTTATTTTTAAATACAAGAAATATGAGAAGAATCCCCCCTTAACATCGCAAAAATTAAATATATTTTGTGAAGTTCTTCATTTATATATATTTCATTCTTTTTATGAAATAATGTTCATGTAATAAAAAAAAATAAATAAATAATAAGGGTAGGATCATATAAGGCACATATAGTCTTGCCCAATTCAATTGAAAAAAAAATTAGATTAAGTTAACATGGTTAATGGCAAAGATAAATATTGCAGTTTTAAAACACTGAAGGAAATCGCACATACTAAAATAAAAAAAAATGATATCGCCATTTTATTTTGAGGTCTTTACACTACATATCTATCTGACAGGTCAACAACAATGGTCTTATTACGTTTGACGCCCAGCTGAGTGAGTACAAACCTAAGTCCTTTCCCCTCCAAGAGAATATCCCCCTAATAGCGCCTTTCTGGGCGGATGTCGATGTCAGCAGAGATTGGTCTAAAGGAAACATTTGGTACCGACAGGAGAACAGTTCCCTTCTCCTGAACAGAGCATCCCAGGAAATTCAGAACTACTTCATATCGCAGAGAAACTTCCACGCCAACTGGCTGTTTATTGTAACCTGGGACAATGTCGGATTCTATGGTGCATCTGGACCAGGCCGAAACAAAGTAAATTTCAACTGTCATTCTTGTAAAAATTTAACCAAGAACATGAAACACACATGTACAGGTCACTTCTCAACGTTACTGAACATTTTCAAATTTAAAATATGAAAACCGATATATTTTTTTTCCTTCAGAAAAACACCTTTCAGGCTGTGCTTGTAAGGAATGAGGAGAGATCTTTTGTTATTTTTAATTATTTACGAGTAGAGTGGACTACCGGCAGTAACAGTTTGGGTGATCCTTCCACTGGACTAGGGGGCAGCACAGCTCAGGTATACAGACAATTCAAGATTTTTATCTTGTTAAAGATATATTTGTTATATATATGTAGGGCCTATATATTTATTTACTTATATGAAATAAATACATGTATTACTTTAAAATTTTAAATGAATTACAATCAGACCAATTAAAATATTTGTGAACTTGTTATATGAAATCTATGTGAAAGAGTATAAAAAGATAATGATTAAATTGTATTAACACAGGCGGGGTTTAACGCTGGGGACCAGAGGAACTATTACTCCATAGAAGGAGCCCAGACACCTGACGTTATTAACTTAACACTGACCAGTAACGTGGGTATCCCTGGAAAATGGGTTTTCCAAGTAGACGGAGATAATATTCTGGATATCAAATGTAGTCATGCTGGTAGGGTGCACATGTCTGTAATTCAGCATTTAAATTTACCCATAAGTGCATGACTAATTTTATACTTATAACTGTTTGATAACTATCCTTTTGAGTGAAAATTGTTGATAAGTTGAATATTTCTAATAGTAAATTTGCATATCAATGGTAAATGGATGAAATATTTTTTAGAACAAATTAACGTTTTTCCTAAAGTTGGATCCATGTTTGGAGGCGAGGAAATACGAATATCAGGACCATGTTTCAGTTCAGCATTTACAATTTTTGCCCGCATCAAAGAAACTAATGAGACATTTCAGTGCACGACTATTAATGACATATCAGGAGCTTGTATCATGCCCAGTGTTTTCCGCACCGGTCAGGTGACAATAGAGGTTAACCCCTATGAAATGGGTTGGAATTATTCCTCTGCTTATCAGATAGGTATGTTGCTTACTTGAACTTAGACTTATTTACGAAAAAATCAAAACTTTTTTTGCGCTTTCAGATTGTAAAATTGCTTCTTTTCTTTTGCAGAAAACGTAGCGTTTTTGACGCCAAAAATCATCCGCCATAATCCCGACTTGTGGGTCATCCAAAATAATGTGACCATGTCCTGGAATTTATCCCTTACTCCGTCCTCTCTTTTCTTCCTGGACATACTGGCCTATCAGGTTTGTTACCAATGATAATTTAAAAATACCCTTTTAAATGTTTTATTTATTTCCTTCATATTTTTAATAATACAGTTATCAAAATGAAAATCTTGGGATAAAATAATTTCTACGGATACTCTTATTTCATTTAAATATATACATGTAAGAGCAAAGTGTAGTTTGTAATGGAGTAATTCTCGTGGTAAAAAATAGCTTGCAGTTTGAGAAGGTTTCTATGTTTCATTTATTTTGAAGTGAGCTGCTTTTTTTTTTACAATTAGATTAAAACTGTAATTGTAGATCAGCAATATAAATAAAATGGGTGGGACATAGTACGTACATTTGCCTTTCTTATCTCTGCATTCGGTCTGTTTGTATCTCGTTTCGATTGAACAGACTCGGAAGAGGTTTTATCTGAATTATAGGCTTTCCTATTCTCCTCACTTTGCCAAGAAATCTGGCATTTTATAAATTATGTAGAAAAAATAGAAAAAAGCCGGAGGAAATTGTATTTAAGGTGGATTAACAGCTTATGTTTGATGACTTCATAAGCAGATGAAGTGAGAGATTACTAAAATTCATCTCGTCGCATTGCGTCATCGTATTCGTAAATGATAATTTATTAAGAGACAATATAATTTAAAAAACCCAAATAGACAGTAGTCTGCATAATTTATTAAAGTACTTTATCACAATTTATATTATTTAATTTGATCTTCGAAAGTCCCTCGATATGCCAGCAGGTTTGTTTTTATTAGGTATAAACTAAAGGGGTACAGTTTTGATACTATACCCCTTTTTGAACCTCACTGGTGAATTCTTCACACCTAAACACGGTAGATTATGTTCTAAATAGCTAATTCAATATATTTTCTTTGAAGTAAATTACCAGACGTTTAATGATAACCAAAGACATACAACTGTGTGACCGAAAATTTATTGATCAGTAAGTCAAGGTATTACAATGTTGGGAACGAGGAATGTTTTTAAGCGCTGTCTGGCTTTGCCTTCTTGGCTTATTTTGCAAGTCAGGTGGTACCACAGTAAGAAGATTGTCAAGAAATGTATTTCCTGAAGAACGTTTTGTCTTCCTTTCAGAATATAAATGATAGTGGGCCTAGCTTTGTTACTGTTCACAGTGATGAACTCTTTGACCTTCAGACTCCAATTAACTCATCCATTGCATTCACTTCCTTCATATTAGACGGGAATTTGTACGAGAGTATGACGTCACTGGTGTTGCGTGTAAGATACAATACCTCTGCTGGATTTAGGTAAACTTCATTTATTAGAAAATGGTCAAGAAAAGGGTTTGGAAAGCAAGTCAAAAAACTAAATTTATATAGACACACAAACCTGTAATTTGTAAGATACAATACCTCTGCTGGATTTAGGTAAACTTCATTTATTAGAAAATGGTCAAGAAAAGGGTTTGGAAAGCAAGTCAAAAAACTAAATTTATATAGACACACAAACCTGTAATTTATGGAAAGAGCAAGGTTCACTTAGGCCCCTTTTGGCCCTGTGAGTTTCTGAATCATAACTGCCCTGTTTTAGTTGACAGTACATTACATATGAGTGTAAATATCACTTGGACCCTTGATGACTGCATATTTATTGATCTAGCTAGTCCATGTATTACATAACGTCATGAATTGCGTCATTATTCCCAAATTCTGAAAAATTCTTCATATATGGTAAAAAATGTAAGGTGTTTTTCAAATATTTTGCATAGAACCCAACCTCTATTTCAAAATATGAAGTTGTATTATGATAAAACTATTTCTGAAGATTATAAAACATGATTTTGGATCTAGGGGAAAGAGTCTTCATTTCTTTGCTGTTCAAAACTCCCTTTTTTCTGCAAAATTCAAAAACATTGCAATTTCACAAAGCCCGTTTTTTTTTTAATTCTGGACTCAGGGGAAAAGTTTTTATTGAAAATAAAAGCACTAAATTATTATCTACTTTATATTGGTGTTTGAAATGAGACATAGCCCGGTCACATAGGGTCTTGATCAATTAATGCTTAAATTAAAGTGAATCATGCATGGTCATTGATTTATGAATAAATTTAAATTCCCCGACAGGGTATAAGGAAGAAAATGGACAACAAAAATGTTGAATCATCTGAACATTTCTTCACTTAATTATTTCTTATCTATTTATTTTAAGACCGTTAAAAATACATGAAATGCATTTTTAAATTCTGTTTTTTCTGTAGTTCGATTTGGTCAGACGTATTCCCAGTACGATGGTCCTCACCTGCAAATGCAGAAAAAATGTGCCAAAATTGGATAAAGAGTTCACTTCCTTTACTAAATGAAACTGAATCGACTTGTCCATGTACATTAAGACAAGCATCACGTGATACTGGGCGCTATTTTGTGGACCCTTTATGTAACCTTCAAAATAATCACAAAGATACAAATTGCCTGTACAACCAGGGTGCAGTTCAGTGCTTCCGGAGAATGCTGCACAGGTCTGTGGCTTATTTGTTTCAGAGAGTTGAATGAGCTTACTCGTTTTCTGGATTTTCTTTGAAAAAAAAGAATAATAAACTCTTACTACAATACAGCGCATTTCTTGACAAAAGAATTTCGCAGAAAAAAAAATCAATTGATCAAATACCGGTAACTGATTCTTACAATTTGGATAAACCGTTAAAATTTAATCAAGTATATATCATGTAATACTTGTGCAATAAACTATGCATCAAAACCTTGAAACGGATTAGAATATTGAAGTTTTGTAATGACTACTTATTCTGCTTTGTAGCTTATCTGTTAGTGGGGAAACGTGCTGCTACAACAGGGATGGAGAACTGTTGGATGCACGTGATACGCCTCACGCTGGAGGGACCCGTTCTCTCTATCACATACAGGCACAGGGAAGGGACGTTGTGCCTTTCTTCTCTTATTTCAAGAACGATTTGGTGCCTTTTGTTCAGTGTTGTCAATATTCCTACAATAATACCATGTGCCAACATTTCTTAAAACTTCGACCGCCAACAACGTGCCAAGCATACACACCGCCCACTCCTGGTAATTAATCTTTTAATTTGCTAATTAAGATTTGCAGAATGAAAGAAAAAAAATGAAGGCAGGATTTGTATTACAGAAAGTGTGCAGGAAAAGTGTAGGTCAAAGCAGATAACACTAACACAGAACACTTAATACCTATGGTATAATCAAGACACAAAAAAACGTTTGCGTGCTCTGCTTCTGTGTTTCGCCTTCTTAATGTAAGGATTCACAAATAATTTTAAGTATTTGCGTAAATAATATTCAGTATTCAGCATGATAATTATGATAAATAACTCACGAAATAGTTTCGTTTAGGCCACATAAATTTAAAATTTAGATTATCTCATCCTAATTTGCAATTGGGGCGGTTGGGCGGATTTTTTTTTTTTTTTTTTTTTGAAAATATCTACATAACACTCTTCTTACACAAAATTTTCACATGTTTATGCCAATATGAATAGATTTCATTGTTTATTCTTTTAAATATCTACCGAAGATTCTTGTAATTTGTAATAGAAAATTAAATATTTATAGTTTTTGAAATAGTTTAAAAACTGGTCGCTCTAGGAGAAGTGAATGCAACGTAGTCTTAGAAAATCAAATGTGGCATGAAGAAGGTGGAAACTCTGATTACTAATATCTGCTTGACAGTATCTAAGACATGCTACACTTTCATTTTACAGCCCAGGCAGCTGGAGATCCTCATTTGACAACGTTAGATAGGAAAGATTATACTTTTAATGGCATTGGGGATTTCGTCTTACTGCAAGACGTCAATTCTTCTATGGTTGTGCAAGTGCGCGCCATTCAGACGAGGGACACCGGTGGTGAGTCATGCAACAAAAAGTTTACTAGTATCTGTTCCTGACATAAAAACCAGATATTGATCAAATAATCTGATCAAATCCTACTCTTATCAGTACAGATACCCCAAAATACACAATTTTTCTATATTTTTAATGCTCTTATGGTTCCTTTGCCAAAAAGCGGTTATTATATAATTTTGAATGAAGACTATTTGTAACAATAAAAAAGAAATTTAGCTTTTTGATACTCAGTTTTTAATATCCTCCTTTTTCAAAAATTTCAGGGCTTTTACAAAACGCCAGTGTATTTTCTGCAATAGCAATGCAAACGAGAAATTCTGACAAAATCGAAATCTACAAAACTTTTGATGGAATGGCAGAGATTTTAGTAAACAATGACTCTGTAGAACTTGTAGAAACTACCTCAAACTTTAATGGTGTTAATCTGGAGATGGGAGAGAGAGAGGACTCTAAAGTGAATGTTCTAGTTGTGTTTGAGAATGAGGATTTATCCATATCAGTCGATGTGTCAAAGGATCTCCTCAACGTTCTAGTCATGATCAGTGGAGAAAGATACAAAGGTATCTTAAAAAATAAAGTCCCCTGGACTAAGTTTTCATTCTTAAGTATTAAATACATACTTAGTTGTACATCGTTCATCAAGTATTATTTTCTAAGCGAAATCTTGTTTCCTGTCACTAGAAGTCTGCACTCACTGTACTGAAAGTTTTCAATTTTGTTCAAGGTCTTTTGGAATCGTTGTGTAAGTCTTTGAAAACAGGTCAAGTTCTTAATCACCTTGACAATTTTTTAACTTTTCACTTGTATTTCAGGCCAAATTCGTGGCTTGCTTGGTAATTTTAATGGAGATGACAACGATGATTTCATAACACGACAAAGCGAAGTGCTACCTGCTGACGCCTCAATGGAAGACTTGCATTTTAAATTTGGAATGACCTGTAAGTAATTAATTTTTGGGATGACCTGCAAGTGATTAATTTTTGTCTGTAAGTGATTATTTTGGATCCACAGGATCAGTTAACTGAAAGGTGATTGAAAGTTTACAGAAAGGTGACTGAAAAGCAGAACTCTGCCATTCAGCCGTCTTTCCAGACCCCTCAGTTGCCATTCAGTTGCCTGAAAGATGCAGTTACATTCTGTGGGACTGACCTGTAATTAATTATTTTTGGAATGACTTGTATTAAAGTAATTAATGTCTAGTTTGTCTTCCCTTTCCTTCTAAAGAAAAACAGTTTTAAAACCAAAATTTCTGCGACAGTCATTAAATGAGAATTTTGATTTCTTTTTTAGGGGAGGTGCAAAATGATGAATTGCTATTCACACACCAAAACACCGAAAGCAATGCAATAAATTACACACCAATATTTCTGGACGATATCGGAAATCCGGACCTAAATTTTACTGCTGTTTTAGAACTATGTGGTGATAATAAACAGTGTCAATATGATTATAGTGTCACTAAAAATGAGAATATAGCGAAAGGGACCATGCAGTTTATAGAGAAATTTAAAGAAATTGAAAGTGATGTGCAGAAAGGTATTTACTGTATCCCTAAACCACGTCTAAGATTTTTAATCGAAACATTTCAATTACTATTTCTCTTTTTTTTTAATGACTTGATATGAAATGTAAAAATACATGTCAATTCCTCTAAAATCATGTTTTTATAGCAAATTGACATTTTTTATTAATAACTCAGTTGTAAGGTGCCCGTTTTTGGATGTACCTACGAATGGAAATCGCTCAGTAAGCGGGTACTCTGTAGGGGCCAATGCCACATTCTGGTGTCTCGAGGGTTTCCAAATTATTCAGGGTGCGTCCTTCATTGAGTGTAGAGAAGATGGAGGGTGGTCAGGGGCTACACCTATGTGTGTTAAGAAAGTTGGTAAGTTTAAGTTTCTTGTGTAAATTTCTTGTAAAAATCGCGTGCCGATTTGTAACATTTGAATGTGTTGACAAATCAAATTGTAAATTAAACGGTTTTGAATTGATAAATATATAAATTATTGATTTTATTTTATCTTGAAGTTGACGAGAGTTCAATCAGCGGTTTGGTTGTATACATAGCATCCAGCTCTGGAGCTCTGGTTGTTGTAGTTGTTATAGCAATTGTTCTTATGGTGCTCATAAAGTGTAGACGAAAACCCAAACCAGAGGCGGATCCGGAAATGTAATTTCTTGATTAGCTATGGACATTTAAAATAAATCACTGCTTCAGTTCGATTTTTTTTTTCTAAATTTGCATGTGTGTAAACTTCATGAAATAGTGATAACTGAATTTATTGATTTTATTTTAATTTTAGAAATGGACCTATATTTGAAAATCCCGTTTTTCTGGAAAGGTTCGTATTAATGTTCTGTAATGTTTCTAGCTGTTTTGTTTTTTGGGAATCTAGAAAGCAATCGATTGCATTGTAAGATCGTATAAGGTTGTGTTTAGTTTGGATCTCTTTGCCTTTCAGTTTATCGACGTTGGGAAATGGAGGAGCATTTAAAATCCCTCGTCCTACTTACGTGGATCCTAACCTGCTGGACGACTATTTTTTCTAGTGGCTTGTTGTGAATTTAGCAAACATTTCTGTGGTGCATCACTCTAGTCAGTGGATCTTTGAACCAGTCTTTCAAAATAAAAACTGCAATATTTTGACCGCCTCTCTGTTCTAGCCAGTCATTTCATTGTTAGATATAATCCTGTTGATTGTTATAACGTTTAAAGACAACCATTTTTATAGGAGTAATCTAGAGTATGGTTTTATGTGTGTTTATTATCGATAGGATGATTTTAGTGATTTTTATCATTCCAATCATCGGCAATGTCCTCATCACTTTATCATAGTTTGTATATTATCATTTCTACTTTCAATGTCATGGATGGGAGAAATATGAGCGAGTGTTCAGTGAACTTCGAATGTGAGCCATTGTGAAACTGTCACTGTTATTTTTAAGAATGCTGCATGGATATGTGCCGAGTATAAGTTTGTTGAACATGATACAAATTATTTGTATATAATGACGGAACAAAATCTTGAAATGAACAAATAAAAAAATAAAAAATAAGAATGGATTATGTTTGTTCAATTTTTTCTAATCATTTTTATTATCATTTATACAATAATAAAAATCCTTTTTTTTGTACAAAAAGGGGAATATAACAGATATTTTTGTTTATGTAAGTTTTAGCAAAATACAGCATTAATTGAATAACGGAAACCCAAGAAAGAGCGAACGTACATCGTTTACCGAGTAAAATACTAAAAGGTTATTTTTGTCGAAAATTTCCTGCGGTATCATGAACAATATCCCCGCCCCCTACATCTGGAGGCGTGCCAAAAATCCCAAAGGGTACTAAGGACATAATGCACCTTGTATTAAACAGAATAATTACTAGTAGGCTATATCAAACCTCTAAAGTATACATAAACGAGAAATTGAAATGTGCCTATTCATAACGTATTCTCTAGTCTCAACTACTTGAGGGGGAATACTAAAACGAGTCACCAATTCAAAATAGAGAATATTCATTACCTTCCACGAAGAATTAAGCGCTGTGTTTCATAAATATAAACTATCATTAAAGTTTTTAATTGATATACGTGTAGATTATCGTAAACACTGTGTTATTTTATTTAAACTATCGAATGTCTGAAAACAGAGTTGTAATAATTGTAAATCCAGAACTTTCAAAACCCAGCTATCATTTTACACATCGTTAACACACCCAAACAGTGTGCACCAGTGTGCTCCTATTTCATGTGACATTTGACACACTTGGGAGGATCGCCAGATTGAAAGTCAACATGCAGTCTATCATGCAATGAGCCTAGCATGGCATTCTCTATCCCGAGTTGTCGTTCCCGCTACGCTCCCACATACACAATTTAGAGTTGTCTTCCGCTACGCTCCCAACACCGAGATCTATCAACACTGGATGTACAAAATATTACAGTACAAGTTTTAAAAGGTTAAAATAGTAATTAATTTTTGTAATTATCAATAAAGATGATAATTTATCATTTGATTTAAATCTATAATCCCTCAATACGATATGATTTATTGTCAATAGCGGGAACGATTGATTGGTGTTTAACGTCCCTCTCGAGAATTTTTCACTCATATGGAGACGCCACCACTTGCCGGCGGAGGGCTGCAAATTTAGACCTATACTCGGCACTCAGGGCCAGTGAGGGAGCAGTGAGGGATCTTTTTCGTGCCAGCACCTACAGTGACACGGGACCTCGGTTTATATGGTCTCATCCTATTGGCTAAGGACCGGTCTCCACGTCCCGCAGTGGGATTCGAACCCGCGACGTAAGGATTAGCGTAAACAACAACCTCTGGATAGAGAATGCCTAAAGGCGTGAATATAAGATGACTTACCTTTTAAAGTGATCGACAGCTGATAGGCGGTAAGGGAAATAGGGATAAGAAGGAAAACCAGAGAAAATGAATTGAACAGAATCATTTAATGTTTTGTTGTTGGATATGGAATTAAATTTACTTATGAAACTTTTTTCCTCAAAAGAAGTACTAGTTTTTGTGTAATTCTACCATGTGTCCCTCTTCCTCTCCGTAGTTTTTATAGTTAAATCTTAAGTTATTTCGAGACTATAAATATTAAATCTAAATAGGACTGCACATGCTCGTATAATATACATGTAAATCTATGGATATTTATGAGAAAACTATTGACGGCCGTTTATTGCAAATAATTCAAATAATATCAAATAACATTATGCGCCGATCATACAAAGATATGGCAACATAGACACAAACATATACAATATGTACACAAGCAGTAGAACTACCATCTTGGCCCGAGGGACCTGGAAATACAGTCCCCCCCTCCCCCCCCCCGGAGATGGTTCTCTATACAAAATTCTGCCAAATGTGCCATGAGATCAAATCTCATGGAACATTCGCCAACAAAACGCAAGTGAAGGTGGTCAATTTTGCCCCTTTCTATATCAAATCAAATCAATATTCAATCATCAACATCAATCAAATCATATATACAAATCAAACACTTTGGCACTGTCACAATCAATATTTAATCCTGATTATTGTTTTATTTATTTTTATGATTTTTACTTATTTTTCCTTTACGGGACCTCTTTATTCTGTTACCTGTAAAGGCCGGTTTACACGGCAAAGCAAGCTGTATAAACCTCGTTGTATAAAGCAAAATGTTACCGTGTGTACGGCGCTATTACACGGAATTTAAACCTCCCCGGAGTCATATATTTCACGCGTTCGAATAGAGCGTGTCTCTATTCTGTACAGCAAGTCGTATGAGACTTTCTTTCTCTAGCCAATCAGTGGCCTGGGATTTGGGTGTTATATTTATGCTTCACTAACCACTTCAATTTTTTAAAAGAATACCTCAACCTTTTTATACGTGTACATTTACATGAGTTATGGCTTGTTCAAATTTAAAATGTAGAACAATATATTTTTACTTTTTCTCTGAAAAAAAATAAACAAAATCGTATAAAATAATTAAGAGCAAATATCAGTCTTTCAATGCTGAAACCCTACTTTATAATGGATGTCTTAAAGATCCATCAAATAAATTTTTGGCTTAGCATTCCTCCTTAAATGTATTTCAAATAGACGGTTTATTTTATATTACCGGTGGCCAAAAACGCACTGTAAGAGCAAATCGTTCTGCTGGTGAAATTGAATTTCTCATTAATATGTCCCTATTCTCTATAAATGAGGATACTGCGTCCAGAAGATCATCAAAATCTGTCATATCTATTCACAGAAACTTTCTAGAAAATAAATTAAAAACAGTACTTAGTTCTTTAATATGAACATGATATGCATGTAACAACGCACTTTGATTTTTTTTTTTCAAAGTGCGTTAAATTTGGGACCAAGTTAACACACTTTGAAAAAAAAATGTGCACGGCTTGGTCAATATATAATTAATTGGTTGGATAACTTTTTGTCACTTTAGGATCTGATATATAGAAGTTTTAAAGATTTTTCCAAAGGTTCTCGTAAATAATATAAAAGGAAAATGAGTCTTTAAGAAATAATGGAGGAATGATTGTTTAATGGCACAATTTCGTTTGTTCTTTTTTTTATCCAGTCTGTAATACGTTCGGTAGATGTAGGGTCGATAATATAAGTGACTTAAAGCAATGCATTTTTCTTAGGGAAATTATTTCTCCATTCCATGAAAATCTCTCTCTCTCTCTCTCTCTACCATATTCATCTATATATAGTGAACATAGATGAAACAATGGGTGACTCATTTATTTGATAGTAAGAAAAATAAACCTCAGCCAAAATAATTTTCCGGCACAATATGATGGTCTTTCATAGTTATTTGATTAGTATTACTGTACATTCCTAAATATAAGCAAAGAATTAATTATCGGATAATTTCGCGAGAAGCTCCACTCGCGAAATAAATTTACTTGCTTTTATTTGTATGATACTGTTCAGGCCCGTAGGAAGCAATTTCAGTTTGGGGGGGGGGGGGGGGGGCACAGCCATACAATTTTCAGTTGACGTTGAGGGGGCACTACCAAAAATTTCCTGACAAGCCAAAAAAAAATTCAACTACCAAAATTCCTTAACAAGCAAAAAAAAAAAAAAAAAAAGGTCGTCAGACGTTTTTATTGAGGGGGCACAAGCACACATTATCTATGTTTACTATAGTAATCTATCTATCGGCAAAATTATTGGGGGGGGCACGCCCCCCCCCGTGCCCCCCCCCCCCCGGTTCCTACGGCCATCGCTGTTATCCATATGAAAAATCTTAATCAACCGTCCATTCTATTGTTCTCGCGATTTGACGTCAAAGATCCATTTCGCGAAAAATAAGGAATCTACAGTAAGAGGTACGAAAAAAATATTTATGCATTTTATACACTTTTTTTTAATTCGTATTGTATTTGATTTTGTAAAGCTACTTTGGCCAAAGTATAGTAAGTTGGCTATTGTTTCTTAGGTCAGCGATATGGCCCCTGGGCCTCTCTTCTTTAATATAATAGGGTGCGTTATTTTATTTTCCTTATTTTTTAAGGAAAGCTTATCTCAATTTTTTAAATCTATTTTATGTTATCTCAATTTTATTGAGAGAAAATATACCAATGTCATACCAGTTATGTTAATACATATATTTGGGTAGGAAAGATAAACGCTGAGGGACCTTCTACCCGTCTTCTCCTCGTTTTTGATAAGAGTTGATCAATTCATCAATTTTCAAAGAAATATAACAAAATAATGCTGTCTATTACTTAAATCTAAGTCCAGAATTTTTGTTTGATACATATTTTTCAAAGTGCGTTAAGTGTCCCCATGGTAAAAAAATGTTAATGTACACTCTTAACGCACTTTGAAAAAAAATTTCAAAGTGCATTGATTTTGTCCCAATTTTAACGCACTTTGAAGAAATTTATCAATGTGCGTAATTTTTTCAGTGCGTTGCCACATATGCACCATAGTAGTCTCTCCTCCCGATCCATTGTCTGACCCGTCCTCTAGATTTCCTTTGCTGGTACAAATAAATGCAGTGCAAATGAAATTATCAAAATGTACATTAAAATAACTGTCTTCCTCTTCCTGTGCTTCCATGTTGACAAAATGAAAAAAAAACCGTACTTCTTCAAAGGGGCGTTTCGTTTGTTTAAATAACAATAGAGTGGAATGTAAACCTGTTTGACCATGTAGACACGTGAGGAATATATTAAAAAAGTTGTATACGACAAGTTGTATACGACATGTATTACCGTGTAAACCGGCCTTTACGCAGTTGTTACATGCTTGGCGTACAATCCAAGATGTGTAGATAGGTAGTTTTTACAACGGTAACCATTTCTCCATGAGGGGTAAGTTAAATTTTCTTATTATTTAGTATTTTGATATTGCATTAAGATTTGTTAACTTTGTAAGAAAACGGGTTAAGCAATGTTTTTGTTACTGTTTACGTATACAAGTCTTGCCGAGTAGAGCTACTCATGCGTGTAATGTTCTGGTTTTGTGCATGTAGTGATGTGTACTAAGTTATGTACGCAATGTACCG